ATCCAAATTGCAAATTAAATCCAACCATGGATATTTTACATAATTTTGAAATGAGTGTGCGAACCCGCAACCTCATGCCCAAACGTATCATGACTCAACCTGCTACACTCAGGGCCGGATTTATTCTAGTGCATATGCTTGCACATTCTGGGGGGACCCACCCAATTACAATAAAGATAAATAAGTATTTATTCTACGGGCTACCTACAACAGCAAAAGAACCAGAACTCAAAAAGACATTAACCAAGCAAATAAATATAACAAACAATACGACAAGCTACTTCCATGTTTTCCACACAAAAGTATGTTCTATTGTCTATGAAAATCACACTTTCTTTCTCCCGCTCTTTCTCATAGAAACGCACACACATACAGTACAGACTCACAGTCCAGCACATGCATGGACCAAATGTGCATACAGAAACTTGTGAGCGATGCCCTGCGACTCATACTATATAAAACATACTTTTTTATGGTCATGAAGTTAGTTCAATACCAACTTCTAAATGTAGTTTATTTCATGTTCTTTTGTCAAAGTCATTGTTATTCGTTAAAACATATCAACTTCACCTATCAATACTGTCCAAATAAAGTATTTTTACTGCACTGCATGCAGTAGTGATCTGGTCCAATTAAGGAGGAAGGTGGGTGAATTAATTAATTTATTATTCTGTCTATCCAGATATAGTAATCAGCACATGATAGTATTTAAGCTACATATTATTGACAAGTCCATCAGCTGCAGTAAGCATTATCTGCTTCAGAATTGATTATTGGGATGCTTAGCTCAGCACTGAGGTCTTCAGGAATTGTCTATGCTGCTCAACTAGTTCAGTGGCATGAAGAGAACCACACACTAAGAAGTGGTAAATGTCACGAGCTGAATCATCATTCCTGCGAAACATCTAAACAATTTCACTATGAGTTTAGATAAAGTCTTGATAAAAATGCAAACCAAATCTACATCTATAAACACTGAGAAGACTGAGATGAGGCTGATTGCAATGAAAATAATCTGTTAAAGATTCAAAAGGTTAAAAATCTCTTTTCTCTTTGCCTGGCAAGTATAAGAACACTAGGGATTTGACTCTGACTTAAGTTGCAATTTTTAATGTGCAGAGACAACTGTAAGTATGCCATTGAACGCTCCCAGAAAAAAAGGTACAAAAGCTGTCACTGGGGCAGTACCCTTGCAAAAGGTACTAATATGTACCATTTAGGTACTAATATGTACACTTTAGGCATTGAAATGTAAATTTCAGTTACCAAAATGCACCCTTTAGGAGTAAATAAGGTACAAAGGTGTGCCTTTTGAAAAGGTACCGGCACAGTGACAGCTTTTGTACCTTTTTTTCTGTAGGTTGACTTCTTGAACAATCTCTGTGGCGCTTTCAAAGCATTGCTCTATTTAATTGAGCTGTCTGATTGGACAGGCTTTTGTTCAACCAATGGTGTGAGTTTGAGATGGTTTAGAAGTGTTTCGATAATATTTTATAACTTTTAATTGCATTCGAATGACATGGGGTGTGCCAAAAAGACTGTGGCACTGATAAATCTGCTACACAAAAGAATAAACACAGTATAGCTAAATTTAAATCCGGAGGATAATTTCTTTTTTGTTATGTATAATTGTTATGTATCACCATACTGTATCGCCCAGCCCTAAAATCTGCTCTATGTTAAAGCATTAAGTCATTATAACAGTGTGACTTTCTGTAAAGTTGCTTTGAAATTATGTGCATTGTGAAAAGCGCTAAAATAAAAAAAAAATTGACTCCGATTTTGAGAAACCTCTTGAAAGTCATTATTTTGGTGCCAATTTTGGCACGAAAGTTACACATTTTATGTGCCAGCAAGCATCGACTACTCTGTGCAAGAATGTGCCCAGATGTTAATGAAATCAACAGTTTTTTTAACAGCTTATTTAAGCTGGAACTGTCCCAAAAACAATTGCCTTCAAAGAGCTGCCCTTGCAAAAATTTTATTTAAGGCAACATACGCTTAATTTGGGGCAAATCTGCTGCAAACAGTTTACCATAAAGCTAATTTCTATTGGAAAATAGAAACTTGCTGCAAATTTTGTCCAGTGTTCACTCTAAGCTGACAACAGGAGTTTGCCAGAACACTGTATGTCTGAAAAGCAACATGAGCAACATGCACTGCATATACAGCAATGCGCTCCAATGCACAGCCAGTTGCAACATTCGACTTCATACATCATTTACAATCCTGAAGTTCAATAAAGTTAATTGTTAGCTGGCAACTGTCAAAAATGAAATGTGATCTACAGTACTGTGAGAAGCCAGCTGGCTAACTGGACTCAACCACACTGGTTCATAAAAGAAGTTGCATCAACAAATGCAATCCCAAAAATTAATAATAAATAACAGCATTTTGATTTCAACACTTGGACTTGTCATCCTAAACCAAAAAGAAAAATGTAAAAATATATATAAATAAAAAGCATATAAATAATAAAAAAAACATGCATGTTTGCATTAGAAAATTTCACCATGATTGCATTCAATTTGTGTGTGTGTGTGAATTGTACATGTTGCAATAAAATATGCACCACTGTTGGTGGAAGATTAAAGAGGTACAGTCTATACAGTGATAGACAAGACAAATACATGTTGAAAATGTCTTGCCCAAGGGAAGCACAAAGCAATAATTCTCCATCACGTAGCATATAAATCATGCTTAAATAGCATGGAAAGAAGAATCACAAAAGTGCTGGCTCAGCACAAAAAAAAATGAAGATCAAGAACAAGACAGGCTTTGAATATTATAACTGAATATAATGCATATATGTGTATTAGTGTGAGAGAATTAGTGTATTTCTAGGTTTTTAAAGCACGATATTATAGCAAACTGCACAGAACCACAAAAAAAAAAACAATGTATTATGACTGAAATGTGCTTTTAAGACCATGATCTCACCTGTATCTGAGGGGTTTGACTCAGCTATACTCAGATTCAGAGAAAACTGTGAAAATTGACATTTAAAAACCCCTTTGAAGCCATTTCTCTCAGTTACAATATCATTGTAGATATTGCATCAATGTACAAGACCCTTTAAAAACACAGATTCTCGAATCAATCACAAGATGTGAGTATGAGTATGAGAGAGGATAGCGCACAGGATTTCAATAGCCTTGTTTAAGAAGAATTTGCTGGGAAATGATGTACTGTAAGTAACACAAGATATCCTCAAAATAATACAGTCCTTGATGAGACTTCATTTTTTGGAGAAAACCCACTAACACCTTTTGGAAGAGATTGCATTTGATTGCTGCGATTCAAAATGACATTTAAGGCATCCTGCATGGAGATACGCCTAACCATAAATATTAAAATGATGCAAGGAAAAGAAATGAAAACAGGTATCAAACACTCTAGACACTTTACATTCTGTCCCATAAAGTACAGAATGGCTGGTTATATGAGGTTGGAATTCATAAAACAATTTGTCAGCATGTTAACTACTTATACCTGTAGATATTTTCCTTAAAATTCTTCTGCACATTTTTTTATTTTTACCATACACCTCATAATGAAAGCTGACAGCCGGAAATAAGCGAGGGAGAAAGAGGGATTAGTGATGTCCCACCGCAGATCCGGGCACACAAGCACCCTCCTCAGCAAGCTGCTGTAATATGAAACTGCAGTGAAAATGGTTTAAGTGTTAGAGCTAAACAACAGCATATCTCCATGTACGTAGATGAGCAAAATGAAAGTGCAACAAACTCTACTGACGTAAACGTCTTTTGCTGTACCGCACAAATCTAAAATGCTTCTCAGTGAAGCACTGTTTGATTTTTAGAGCGAAAACCTTTAATCCTACTGGTTTCGTGCTCTTCTTTGAGTGAACAAGACTACCAATACTGTATCTGTACTCTGTGTACTAAAGAGCCAAACTCATAAGTCTGCTTAGATCAGCAGTAAGGTCTCCTTGTTTTGAGCTATAATAGTAGACATGCATTACTTTTAATATAGGCTGCATTTTATTTAATGCATTATATTTAATACCTAAGCATTTCATTTAATAATTCATATGCTATTTTTTAAATAAATATAAGCTATAAAAACATTTGCATATTTTTATGCAAAAACATTTTCTATGCATATGAGATCATTACAGGAGACTCTTGTTTTGCGTGAAACAAACTACTTCTATGCATTTATGGATGTACTATTTGTAGGTAGTTTAGCTTAAAAGCGATACATTATTGCACATTCCCCGCTGTTCTGACACATTATAGATTATATAAATTGAATGTCATTTGAATGACATAATATAGAAAATACTGAATCTGATTTTAATTTAATTGAACATTGAACATGCATGTATTATTTTCTATGCACAAAATTCTGTCATCGTTTACTCACCCTCAAGTTGTTCCAAACCTGTATGAATTTCTTTCTTCTGTTAAACACAAAAGAAGATATTTTGAAGAATGTGTGCAACCAAACAGTTAATGACTTCTACAGCATGGAAAAACAAAACTCATAGAAGTCAATGGAGACCAGCAACTGTTTGGTTGATGAAATGTAAGAAATTCACACATGTTTGGAACAACTTGTAGCCTAAATGATGACAGAATTGTAATTTTTGGATGAACTATCCCAATAGCCCAGCGGTGAGGTCGCCTTCTTTGAATTGTAATAGTAGAGGTAGGCTACATTACATATCTGCACCTTCTCACTTGTTATGCCCATCACAGTACGCAGAGAATAAATGCAGTTTCAATTATTTAATACAGTCCTAAAATCTTTTTTATATGAAAATATGCCAAATCTAAAAACCATTAATTTGTGTACAGCTCTGATGATTCTGGTGTTGGGCTGTTTTGTGCCAGCGGACCCTCAGGAGGGGAAGCACCTCACCTGTCCATGCACGTGTAAACAGCAGCGGATGCCTGGCCCTGCGTGTCCTGCTGCTATCCAGCATTAATACCTCCCCTCCCTTCATCCGCTCTCAATTTATCTCTCTTCCCTACCTTGCGCTTTTTATCCCGCGAGCGGCTCCTTTTCTTCGCCTTCTCCTCCTCTTTCTCCTTCCGCTCCTGTTCGGCGAGCGCCTCTAAATCCTTATTCTTGCGCAGATGTTTGGCGGCTTGTGCCATAGTGCCGTTACCAGCCGGGCTGAGATGGCTCTGTAGCTCCGGTGATGGATGCTGGTGGTGTGGATATTATCTCAGTTCCTCTCATGCAGTCCTGCAGCACTGGAGTGAGCGTGTGCGCCGCGTCTCTCTCTCTTTCTCTTCTCTGTCTCTCTCCTCCGCTGCAGCACTAGTTAGTAAGGCAAGACAGACCTGAGAAGGCTTCACTGAGAGGAATACTGCTGCAGTGTTGCGCACCTCTCTCTCTCACACACACACACACACGCCAATATTCTCTTGTGTCTTTTTTACGTCGATCTCTCACTCTCACGCCACTCCTCTTGTGGAATTCAATGTGCACACTTTTTCCCTCTTGCATGCACCTTCTTGTGTTATATCCTCTCTGGCGTCCCATCATCTGCAGCAATTAACAAACAAATGGAGCGACAGACACAGAAGCTTTCTGGTGGGCTGCATCCATTTTTGGGACCTTCATAAATCAGTTCTGACAGTAGCAAACCTATATGGCTTTACCAGCAACACGGGACACCTATAGAGCAGCTTGTTATTCACTCTAGTGGGTTTGGGATGGACTTTTACAAATGAACTGAATACATAATTTAATCTAATTTAAATTAATAATTTATTCCATATGCATACACTCTTAATAATAAAGGTTTCACAGTGATGAAGAACCATTTTTGGTTCCACAAGGAACCTTTTTGGTGCACAGTTCCTGAAATTTACATTTTTACATCATGTGAAGAACGTTTTGATAATCTAAAGAACCTCTACACCCTTATTTTGCAGTGCAGAAGTAAGATATTTTTTGTACAGCTAAAATAAATGGAAGCGAATGACACCGGAAGCCAGTTCTTATACGTTAAAAATAAGGTGGATAAAGAATCGTTTGTGAGATGGATAGGTCTTAAAGGTTCTTCGTGGAACCATAGATGCCAATAAAGAACCGTTATTTTTAAGACTGTACTAGCATTGACATATTTATGATACAGTAAATGCCTGCCAGAGGAGGATGGGATTTTCCCAGCTTTTTTCCTTTTCACTGTTTCTCTCGGCTGGCACTATTTTCTGTTTGAAACAATAGGTTTTTTTGAATAACAAAACTGGCCTGACATGCTTAATACTGTTGACATCAAAGCCGCCTTATTCTCTGCACACCACAGTCTCTCAAAACAGAGAAAAAGCATGTTTAAAACACACTCATCAAAGAGCGCTGCCTCATTCCTGCCCCCTCCCTTTATCCAATAATGCAGCGAGAAGGAACCATGTGGAGTCTGTGTGGACATGGATACATGATTTGTGTAAGTGTGTGCAAACACGGGCGTTTTGTGCTGAAATGGAACAAAACCGTGTTAAAGATCCCAGTACTCAGAGCTGTAAGCCGGTGGAAGGGTTTCCTTTGGGATAGTCGTGCGAGGAGGGGAGGGATCTTCATTTGTTTTTGATTTTAGACAGCATCTGCAGTGTGTATCCTGGAAAGCCTGCACCTGTTCGTTCCTTACTCTCTCCCGTAAAATAGCTCTACATCTCTCTCCAATCCTACTGCAATCCTGCTGATGCAAGCAAAAAGAGGTTTTAATGACCCACACCCCCTTCCAAATGTGCAAAGCTCTTAAATAGACTATACGTAAAGGAATGTAAGCAAGACCACACATTTGATATACTGTATCTACACACATTTTTAAGAAAAATGGTTCTTCACATTACCAGAAAAGGGTTCTTCAGCTTGTAAAATTTGCTTTTTATTGGGCTCCACGAAGAACCATGCTTTAATGAAAATGCTATATAGGACCTTAATCGTGTTTTTAATGATGGTTTATTTTCATTAATATTAGTATATTTACATCATAATATTAGTATTCATATTATTTGTATATATTATTTATTAATATTGTTTTTTATCTATCTATCTACTTGGTATTACAATATCTTGTAGCGTCTATTAGGGTTTTACATAAAACAACAACATGTTGTGTCAATTAGGTACTTTTATTTTTTAATGATGTGAAATTGTAGCAAAAATGACAGTGCACTACAGTTATTAGCAGAATACATTAATAAATGTCAATTGGCATTGAACATAAATAAACTTTACTTTAAGAAGTAAAACAAAATAGAAACAGAAAATAGTGAAATGAAGACAAAGCTCCGGTGAAATACTGTATTTTCATAATCCTCTATGATGCCTTTATGTCCATCATTTTGGTGTGATTGAGTGGCTATTTTTCTCTGCAGATGATGAGGTTGTGGGATGTGATGCATCTGAAATACACAGATGAGTTTAGAGTTATAGTTTGTCTCTTCCATTTGTTCATGTAAAAACAATTATGTTCACGAAGGCCAAAAGTAGCAAAAAATGGGCATTATGTGAGCCCTTCACAATCTTAAAAGAAAAACGTGATATAAAGTCATGGCATAGTTTTAATATGTTTTGTGACTGGGTATGTTTATGCATAAACCCAAGTAATAATTAAAAAAATTCTAAGAATATGGATTATAAGTTAATGTTACACTCTAAAAAATGCTGGGTTAAATACAACCCAGTGCTGGGTAAAAGTGGAGAAGAGGAGAGAAGTATCCTCAGCTTAACAGAGCAGTGACCAAAACAACTAAGAAGAGAACAGAACATGTTTGTTAGGAAACCAGTTACAATTTTAAAGTTTATTTTGTATTTAAATTTAAGAATGAAAATCATTTACCTGTTGAGAGTGTGTTGAGTCAGTCTGAGCTCCAGAAAATCAGTAATGAGGTGCTTTGACCGTTACAGATTTGAAAAACAAAAAGGCAGGAATAAAGAACCCTAAACTCTGACACAAAGAACCATTTTCAGCATAAAAGGGATCTTCAGGATACTATGGTTCTAAATAGAACCATCATGTAAAGAACCTTTAAAGAACCATTTTTTTTTTAGAATGCATTCTGTTTTTTTCTTGGGTCTAGTATAGATTGAACATAACATTATGACCACTGACAGGTGAAGTGAATAACACTGATTATCTCTTCATCACGGCAGCTGATAGTGGGTGTGATATATCAGGCAGCAAGTTAACATTTTGTCCTCAATGTCGATGTGTTAGAAACAGGAAAATTGGGCAAACTTAAGGGTTTGAGCAAGTTTGACAAGGCCCAAATTGTGATGGCTAGACGACTGGATCAGAGCATCTCCAAAACTGCAGCTCTTGTGGGGTGTTCCCGGTCTGCAGTGGTCAGTATCTATTAAAAGTGGTCCAAGGAAGGAACAGTGGTGACCCCTGTCCACTGCCGAAAGCGCCATCAGTGGGCATGTGAGCATCAGAACTGGACCATGGAGCAATGGAAGAAGGTGACCTGGGGAACACATGGGAAGAGGGCAAGCCGGCGGAGGCAGTGTTGATGCCTTGGGCGATGTCTGCTGGAAAACCTTGGGTCCTGCCATCCATGTGGATGTTACTTTGACACCTACCACCTACCTAAGCATTGTTGCAGACCATGTACACTCTTTCATGGAAACGATATTCCCTGGTGGATGTGGCCTCTCTCACAAAACAAAAATGGTTCAGGAATGGTTTGAGGAGCACAACAACGAGTTTGAGGTGTTGTATCACAAGTATTTTATTCTGTTATAATATATATTCATTGGACATATGATGACATATGGTCTGTTTGTGGTGCTATCACAGTTGTCTTGGCATGCTTTTCCTGTGAAACAAAACAAACAAATAAGAAACAAATACCTTTTAAATATTGAAAATTTTAAATATACAATTCATCTACAATTTATTCATTAACCTTGTCATTTTTTTCATTAACCAAGGTTTTTTAATTCATGTCATGACCATTAAACGCAGTAATTTATGCTCGATACATGCAAGTAACTCAGAAGGGTTGTGATGCAACTGAATGAAATGCACTCTCTTCACACTGAGCAAACTCCCACACAAATGCTGTTCATAGAGCTTATGTCTAAGCATGCTTTGTCGAGAAATCCGAGTTTTTGCTCGAGAAATATTAGAAACGACGTTTCTGTATTACGACGGTGTTTTAGTGCCATCACAGATAGCACACGTGCGTCTGCAAGATGTCTGTTAAAGATCGCTTCACCTGGAAAGCATTGCTGTGTACAAACATCTGATAGACGTCTCTAAGATGTCAGTTTAACATGCATTCTAAATAAACATCTTAAAGACATATAATAAACGTCTATTTGACATCTGAGGAAAAAAGTCAAAATTACGAGAATAAAGTCGAAATATTTTGAGAATAAAGTCGAAATTACGAGAATAAAATCAAAATATTTTGAGAATAAAGTCAAAATTATGAGAGATCTGAAGCTCTTATGACCTCATATTAAAGCAACTGTATGTAGTTTTGTGTATTTTTGCATGGAATTCTCTGTCGTAAACCATTACATTGGATAGCTGTTACACGATCATTTGTTCCTGCTGTAAAGCAATCTGAACCTTTTAGTGGAATTACGTAGCCGCTCACCGAACTATAACATTCTCACAGAACAGACGTTTAGGTGGAGAGTGGGACAGAAACAGAAGCCATTCGCCTTAGTAGAAGTCAGAGTACCATCAGAATGATTTTAAAAGTGATATTTGGATGTTAAAAAAAAACAGTTGCTTACAATGTGGATAATTTGAGCGTTTAAATATTTGGCCTGTCACTCCACTGGACTATTTAAGATGAGGTAAGGCAAAAGGGTGATGAAATCAAAAGAGTGGGGAAATTTTAACCTAAAATGCAATGTTTTTTTTTCAAATTCTGCAGTGTAAGAAAGAAAGAAGAGGTAACTGTCACATAAATCAGGTGTCTTGCAGAGTGTCTGTCACAGGTCCAGTGTACACCGACCACTAGGGAACTCTGTACCATGACGGCTCTCTCTTGGGGCCAAGGGTTTTACAGGTTGCATGGCCACTTTAGCCCCTACTGGTTTGATACGGTAACTACACCAGAAGCCAGCAAACAGCATCCTTCTTTATCATTCAGAAAGCATCATTCATCATTAATATCCATTCCAGCAATTGCTCTAGTGTTTGTTTTGTTATCACAAGTATTTTATTCTGTTATAATATATATTCATTGGACATATGATGACATATGGTCTGTTTGTGGTGCTATCACAGTTGTCTTGGCATGCTTTTCCTGTGAAACAAAACAAACAAATAAGAAACAAATACCTTTTAAATATTGAAAATTTTAAATATACAATTCATCTACAATTTATTCATTAACCTTGTCATTTTTTTCATTAACCAAGGTTTTTTAATTCATGTCATGACCATTAAACGCAGTAATTTATGCTCGATACATGCAAGTAACTCAGAAGGGTTGTGATGCAACTGAATGAAATGCACTCTCTTCACACTGAGCAAACTCCCACACAAATGCTGTTCATAGAGCTTATGTCTAAGCATGCTTTGTCGAGAAATCCGAGTTTTTGCTCGAGAAATATTAGAAACGACGTTTCTGTATTACGACGGTGTTTTAGTGCCATCACAGATAGCACACGTGCGTCTGCAAGATGTCTGTTAAAGATCGCTTCACCTGGAAAGCATTGCTGTGTACAAACATCTGATAGACGTCTCTAAGATGTCAGTTTAACATGCATTCTAAATAAACATCTTAAAGACATATAATAAACGTCTATTTGACATCTGAGGAAAAAAGTCAAAATTACGAGAATAAAGTCGAAATATTTTGAGAATAAAGTCGAAATTACGAGAATAAAATCAAAATATTTTGAGAATAAAGTCAAAATTATGAGAATTAAATCGTAGCAATTACGAGATTAAAGTTATAATATTTTGCAAATGGCCCTGTGAAATTCCGGTTGCCTAGCAACTGATTTAAATATATATGAGGGATTATTATCAGAAATCATTATCATGTGTCATAATTCACGGCCGTAACCACCATAGACTTTGAGGGGACAAGTCAATAATTAGAATTAATTTAATTTAATTTAATTAAAGCCAATCTGTCTTGTTGTTAGAAAGACAAAACACTTTAAAAGTGAAAATTCTGTTTCAACGGGCCAACAGCGCTCGTCAATGCCAAAATAACTGAGCTGGCCAATCAAATCAAAGTGGGCGGGGTTTACAGAGCGAAGCGTCAGTTAAAGGCAGAGTAAGTGATTTCTGGTAGCCAATGTTGATATTTGAAATCACCAAAACAAACACGCCCCTACCCCAAAAGGGTCTTGCCTCTATTTTGATAGCTCCGCCCCACATATACGTACGCAACCCAGGCAACGATTAGTTCTGTGAAACAAAGCAAAACCAATGTTACACCGTGTCTACACCGGACGTGAGCGGCGCGGCGCAACAAATCCCCGAAATCTGTGATACTTTTTTCAGTATTTTTTGATGAATAAAAAGTTCAAAAAGAACAGGATTTATTTAAAATAGAAATCTTTTGTAAAAATATACACTACCGTTCAAAAGTTTGGGGTCAGTAAATTTTTTTTCTTTAAAAAAAAAAAAATTTTTTAGCAAGGATGTGTTAAATTGATAAAAAGTTATAGTAGAGACTTATATTGTTAGAAAGATGTCTATTTAGAATAAATGCTATTCATTTGATCTTTTTTTATTTTTGGGGTGCTTTGCTGTTGCAGGAAGTGGAAATCTTGACTGTATGAAGTACATAAAGGACTCTTTGAAGTTTTAGGAAGTTTTGGTAGAGATTGTGATGCCTTCAGAACATAGACTGAATCTTGATGATCATTGGACTTTCCAGCAGGATACATCCACATCTACTGAAGCTTGGTTCAGGGATCTGCTGTAGAATGTTCTTGAGTGGCCTGTTCAGTCTTCAGATTTAGATTTCATTAAAAATATCTGATGGGATTTGAAGAAAGCATGGGCAACATGAAAACCAAAGATCATCAGTGATCTGGAAGCTTTTTCAAGCGATGAATGGGCCGAGATTGCAATAGAGCAGTGACAGAAGCTTGTAAGCACTTAGAGGCAACGTTTATTGGTAGAAAAAAATTCTCTACCAAATTTGAATTTTGGGGGTTTAATAATTTTGTACATGAATGTGTAGAGGATGTTTGATTTTTTTCCCCCATTTTTCATCAAATTTACATTCTCATATGTGTATTAATACAATTCTATTATAGTTTACAGATGCCTTTATGAGTGTTTATGAGTTAATTTAAGAATTTTTGGATTTTATATATATATATATATATATATGCATATGTACATGTATGTAGTTAGGTGCAAAGCTTTACATACACTGTTTATTACCTACGTTTACATTTGGTCATTACTTGTCTTTTGAATATCTAGGTATTGTGCTAAAAGGTTTTCACACATTCTATTTATCATTATTTGCAGGCCTCCAAAATACTCTCCAGCCTCCAGCCTGACTTTACAGAACTGTTATCAATGATTTCCTCAGAGTTTGACTGTTTTGCTATTGCTGGGAATTTTAATATTCACATAGATAATGCAGAAATCAATAACTTGCTGCTGTTGAGAGGCTAACAATCCCCCCATGTCAGATTCCCATTGAAATGCTCTCCGACAGCAAATGCAATGAGGTTGCTTCCTTCTTTTCTGAGAAGACCAATAATATCATAAAGGCAATCAGCACATCCTCAAGTTGTGCAGAGGTGAGACAGATTCAACCACAATTTCAGAGAGAAGTTACTATGTCTGTTTTCGAAGCAATTGATGGAAATATTTTGAAAGAAATAGTACAGCACCTTAAAATGTCACCCTGCTGCCTTGACACATTTCCCACATCTTTTTTTTTTTTTCTTCAAAAGTGTGTTTAACTGTTTAAAAGCAGATCTCTTAGAAGTGGTAAACGCCTCACTTCTTTCTGGGACTTTTCCAAACTCCCTGAAAACTGCAGTTGTTAAGCCCCTTCTGAAAAAGAGCAATCTTGATAACACCATTTTGAGCAAGATTATTTAAAAGGTAGTTTTTAATCATCTGAACAAATACTTAAACTCAAATGGATACCTGGACAATTTTCAATCTGGTTTCTGACCGCATCACAGCACAGAGACAGCGCTCATAAAGATAATAAATGATATTCGATTAAATCCTGATTCTGGCAAAATATCAGATCTGGTACTACTCGATCTCAGTGTTGCGTTTGACACGGTCGATCATAACATACTTCTAGAGAGACTGGAAAACTGGGTCGGGCTTTCTGGGATGGTCCTCAAATGGTTCAGCTCATATTTAGTAGGGAGGGGTTATTATGTGAGTATAGGAGACCATCCATAAGTCTAAGTGGACATCCATGACATGTGAAGTCCCACAAGGCTCAATTCTTGCACCGCTCTTGTTTAGCCTGTATATGCTCCCACTGGGTCAAATAATGAGAAAGAACCAAATTGCCTATCATAGCTTTGCAGATGACACCCAATTTTAACGACTACAGCCGCATTGACTCCCTCTGCCAATGCATTGATGAAATTAACAGTTGGATGTGCCAAAAAAAAAAAACATTTCAGTTAAACAAGGAGAAAACTGTCATTGCATTTGGAAACAAAGATGAAGTTCTCAAGGTGAATGCATACCTTCTGTTATCAATGATTTCCTCAGAGTTTGACTGTTTTGCTATTGCTGGGAATTTTAATATTCACATAGATAATGCAGAAATCAATACTGCAAAAGAAATGATAACTGTTTTAAACACTTTTGACCTGATTCAGCATGTGCGTGGACCCACACACAATCGTGGACACACTCTAGATTTACTCAACAGTAAGGGTTTGAACATTTCATCCATTGTTATTAAGGACGTAGCACTATCTGATCACTTCTGTATTTTCTTTGATATATTGATCTCTG